TGGGCTGAATCCCCGCGTTGAACAAGCTTTATAGCTCTTTATGTCACTATGTCCGCTGCATCACAGCTTGTCTTTGCGCATAGCATCGCAAGTCGAGCTTGCATAAAGTGAGATTCCCCCCTTCAGACTCGGTCGACGGCTGCTTGCTTGTTGATGATGGGTTGGCATCACGGCATATATGCATGAGACGCCAAACACCTTGTTCATGCAAAGATGCAGCCTCTCGATCTGCTGCTGATGGCCCATTCGATCTTGCGTGACGTCTCCGATACAAGGCGCGGTGCAACCGCACTCACGAACTTGAAACGTGATTCTGCTGCAAACCCTCAATCAAATTTTGATTAGAACGATGATTAGCCTTTTGCTTTTTCTGGAGAATGCGGTCTGCTGAGTGCTGACTCCTTTGATTGATCCTGATTCCATCACGCGCGCTCAAGGCCCAGCCACTGGCATGCGAGGCCTCACCAGATTGCTGCATCGAAAGGGCGATGGCGTGGTGACAGCTAGGATCACCGTCGAATCCGTTGTTGCGCGGGCTTTGCGTGCTGACACGATGGCCGGCCGTTGTTCGAGCGGTGAGTAATTGCGTGCGGCTGATGACATTCCGACGCCCAAATGGGCAGGCTTGACTTTACGAAACCGAAGGGTGGCGGACCTGAACTTACAAAGGGCCATTGGATGCGGGCTTCGTGCGGCATTCTCATCTGCCAAGCCTCGGTGCCTGCTTGCAGCTAAATGGCCACCGCCATACAGGCAGGCGTGCTATGCGATGTGATTGAAGGGCAGGCCCACTCGACCGGTCTCCGAGCGACGAACATTTACAATGTACACGCTTCATCACCAACGAGCCGCGACTTGCATCGCACGCACCGTCGGTCTAAATTAGACAAAAATCGAGCAAAGGGGAAGGTGCAGGAGCGGCTGGCGTTTGATGCTCGTCTACATGTATGCTCAGGATGATGGTTTGGGTTGAGGTGGTGCTTGTTGGAGGTGCTCTTGAGCTTCTTGAGGTGAGGCAGCTGATACTTGTCTCGTGAACGACGGAGCTTGCGCAGCACTCTGGGAGGCTAGCGATACTGCGGGAGCCGCGGTGGCATCACTGATCGGTGCTTCAGCTCTTCGCTCGCCAGGGAGAGGCACTTGGCCTTTGGGCGGACCAGTCGCAGCGATGGCTGCAGGCGGAAGTGGTGCACCTGTGCTTGCGAGGGCGGAGCTTGGTATTGAGCGCGCGAGAGCTGCT